AGGGTTCAGTAGGTCAGTAAATCAAACTTACAGGCGAGGCTGCAGGGGAAAGTGAAGACTGGGGAAGAAGAGGCAGGCACATTCTCCAACCAGCTCAGAGCCACACTCCTTTCAGTCCTGCAGTGCTCAGAACCCGACCCAAAGTCCTCACCACCCAGGTGCCCAGCAACACAGGCAGACCCAAACTCAGTGAGGCACCTGACCCAGAACCCACATCAGCTATGGAACCCAAAGCCTACATGCCCCATGCAGCCTAGTGACCCAACCAGAACCCACAGGGCTCGTTGCCCACACTGCTGCCAGGAGTCTGATGGAAAATGACACAGACATAAGTAATCCTAGCTGTGTGGGTCACAGTCTCCACTGCTAATATTTACATTGATCATTGTAGCTCAAAAACAGCCAGACACCATATGGAAACAAATGAGTATAACTGTGTTTTAATAAAACTTTTACAAAAACAAACAAACAAGCAATTTTATTTGCAAAAGCAGATCATAGGCTGATCTAGGCTCGTGGATTGTAGTTTACTTACCAGTTTCACAGTATTAACAGAAAATAATTTCAGAGTATTCCAGCAAATATTACTTATTAGTATAATTATGAAAACAGTCTAAGATCCCTTTACAGTTTCTTCTTCATTACATATGAGTGAAAGGTAAAAACCCTTGTAGATCAAAAGAATTTGAGCTAATTATCTGTTCAAATGAAAAATTCGATATTTTTAAAAAAAGCATTTTGCGTGGTTATGTTACCATTTTGATATATGCTCATTTGTTTCATACTGTTTACCTTTTTCCCTAAAGTTTTTCTTTATTTTGGGGAGCCCCGGGGGGCTCAGACAGTTAAGCACTGATAGCATCCAGTATCCTAGCAGTCAGGGGAGCACCAAGGTGTAAACTGGAGCTCAGGGGGAGAGGTAGTGGATTAATCAGCCCCTAAATACTCTCCACTCACTGTCAGTTTGCCCGACTGTGGTGGCCTGCATGTTGCTGTGGTGCTGTAAGCCAGGCCACCAGCATTTCAAATAGCAGCAGCATCACCCAGCATGAATATGCTTCAATGGAGCTTCCAGGCGATGAAGAGAAATGGAAGAAGGAAGAGGCAGTCCAATTCTGCAGATCGGCCACTGAAAGCTTTATAAAAAGCAGTCGAATATTGTCTGATACAATGCCAGAAGATGCGCCCCTCAGGTTGGAAGGCATTCAAAATACAATTTGGGAAGAACTTTCTCCTCAAAGCTGAGTCAACCTTAAAGACTTGAATGAAGCAAAATCTACAGGACTGTCTTTGCTGAAAAGACAACATTCAAAATGAGAAATAGCTGCAAACATCCATTCATAATCAAAGTAGAATGTATGAATCTAAGAAAATTGGAGTTCATATAAAACAAAATGGGATGCATAAAGATCAACCTCGTGAGCATGAAGGAGCTGAAATGGACAGGCACTGGCCATTCTGAGTGACAGTTGGATGGTTTCCTGTGCAGGCGTGACCAATCCTAGAGGCCTGCCATCACATTCATCGTCCAAAAGGACATCTCAAGATCTCCCGTAAAGGACCATGCTATTAGTCATAGGATAATATCTACACCTACAAGGAAGATCAATTAATATAACGATTCCTCCAAACATCATTATTCTAGTATGATAATATGTGACATTTCAAGTGAATTCTTCGCTTGGTAACATGAAATGTAAATTTTTCTCATCTGTGTTTATTTTTTAGTGTTTTGACCTAATATAGGCAATATTGAGACTTTAATGAAAATATTAAGAATTGTTTTAGTAAAACTTCTGTTGATATTAATGTAACTATGAGATACATATATAATTATTTAACATAATTATTTAAGTCAAGATAAGAAAAAATTAATATATTAATACATTACTAATATCACTTGAAATAGAGGAGCATGAGTTTGAATACCTCAAGGGCCATTTTGGACAAGTACTAAGCCTGTAAAGTTGTATATGAATGAAAATTAGAATTACTCCTCAATTTGAACTCATTAAGTATCACAGAGAGGCTAGGACATGCAATTTTAAATATGTACTGTATAAGCTATTACGTGTTTTGTAAGTGTTTCCATGTCTCATACAAAATAAGTTCCCCCAAATCTTACAAAAATGAAAAAAGATTATAGCATTAATATAATAGTTAGCTATCAGTGATTATCTGTTCCAAACTGAATAATCTATTCAAAACTTTTATCTTTAAGTATTTTGTGTTGTGAATTTTCATACTCATTCCAGTAGCACATTCAAAAGTCATCTAAAAAAGTGACTGAGAACCCAGGAATAATAAATTTGTTGCTGCTATTGTTGGGTTTTTGTTTTGTTTTGTTTTTTAAGTCTTAGATCATATTTACAGGAGATATGTAAATTTTGAAACATGGATAATGGCCAAAGACTATCAGTGTTTGTCATCTTTGGTTTGGTGGAAGCCAATTTCACTTAATAGTGCCAAATGATGATACCAATATAAGTCAAAGTGGCAAATAGTAAACTATAAAATTGTCATTGAGAGTGACAGAAACCAAATGATTCATTCTTCTTCGTTTCATGAAAGCTTGCCTCCGAATTAGGAAAACATTTATACCTAGCATTTCTGAAACCATTACCAGCTAGATAACCCTGGCTGAATGTCAGCAAGGGTTGGGATTTATCAGCGTGACAATTTTCAAATCTGTTGTCATCCAAGTCGTCCATTTGTATTTGTTAGATGCCATTTTAGCGTCACACAATTGATGCCCCAAAGAGATAGGACTGCACAAGGGCACAGGGTCTCCTGGCACCTCCCTGCCAGACACATGATTGTAAACCTCTTAGGTTCACTACTGACAGTCCACCTGGCTGGACTGCCCAGGAGCTGAAAGTGACGTGATTTGAAGAGCACTTTATGGAAAATCGTTTCAAATGCAAAATTCGGTGCTGGAAAGGGCCTATATGCATAAAGGGCAATGAACTTTGTGCTTCATACCAAATTCCCTTTGATATCTGGCACATAGGAATTAATGATTTTTCTTTTTGTATTAGATAAACAGATACTAAATTTTACTTCAGAGTGAGCGAAAGGGCGGGGTTAGCCTGGGCGTGGCCTTTTGCCATCCTTTCAGTGAAGTGTAAGTTAACGTTGTTGAAAGAACTTGTCTGACTCGTAGAACAAACTGCGCCCTGTTTCCATGCACGATTGCAGCCACGAGTCAGTCCGTCTCACGGAGGGTCTTCCTCGGTCCTCCGACCCCCTCCTTCGCTACGCATGATGTTCTGCTCCAGGGAATGACCTCTCCTGATAGCACTTCCAAAGGACGTGAGCTGAAGTCTCACCAGGATCACTTCCAAGGCGCTTTGTCACTGTACTTCTCTCCAGACGGGTTTGCTTCTTCTGGCAGTCTGGAACGTTCGGTGTTCTCCACCAATTCAGATGCACCCAGTCTTCTTCATTCTTCCTTGCAGGCTTTCCGACTTTCACGAATGTGTAGCGATCGAAAATACCCTGGGTTGAGTCAGGTGCACCTTAGTCCTCAGTCGTCCCTTCTTTATTTTCTTTTTAAACAATGTTTAAGAGTCTTTCATAGATTTGCCCAATGCATTGTCATTTGGTTTCTTGACTGCTATTCCCAGGAGCTCTCATTGTAGATTCAAGTAAAATGAAATCCTTGACGCGTCAATATTTTCGCCATTATCTTAATATTACATATTATTCATTTGTGAGGATTTCTGTTTTCAGTACATTTAGGTGTCATCCATACTGAAAATTGTCGTCTTTGATCTTCGTTAGTAAATGCTTCAGGTTCTCTCTGCATTTAGCAAGCAGCTGTGTCACCTGCTTATTGCAAGCTGTTCACGAGCCTTCCCGCTGCCAAGATCTGCTTCATACCGCCCCGCTGTATTTAGGCTGGATCTCAAATGCTCTTTTTTTCAAGATGAATGTGACATCATTCCTCTTCAATGTGTCCCCCCGGCACAGGTGATCACTCGATCATCTAATTCAAATGGCCCATACTAGTCCAGTTTAGCTCACTAGTGCGTCGGACTTCGACCTTTAAGCGTTCCATTTCATTCTCTAATAGTTTTCCATGTTCCTGGACTCACCGTTCATACGGTCCGTATTCCCACCACTAACGAAGGTTTGCTGCGGTTTCTTCCTCTTTGAGCTGTGCCACGGCAGCAGTGAGGGTTCCAAACGCTTTGCTTGCTCTCTCCATGTAACTAAGGTCAACTCTGCTTTACGGCGGCGGCTCTTCTCAGTGTGTGCACCTTCCAAACGGAGGAGCGCATCTTCCGCAGTGCTCTGCTGCTACTAAGGAGGTTTCAGTGGTCAGGGTTTTGTTGTTGTTGTTGTTTTTCAGAAGTAGACTTCCAGGCCAGTCTTAGTTTGCAGGCTCCACTGAAAGCTGCCCCTCCTGGGTGAGCTGCTAGTATTTGAAACACCGACGACATAGCTTTTCACAGCACAGCCACTCACGAGCCGCCCCAGTATGACAAATGCGTGGTGACAGCATTGATAAGGCACCAAGTATTTGTGGATGGAAGGATTTCAAAATAATAGTTGTGACAGTAATGGCAATATTAACAAATAAAGTAATGTGTGTCAGACATAAATACTGGAGACAGATATCTGTAGTATTCCTTGGATAGTGCTTAGTATAAAATTTATTGAAGAATCTCACTCAAGTTATAAAATTGTACCCAGGAGAGAAGGTTTTCATTTTCTGGAGGGGGAAAAGAGCACAGCAAATATTTTGTTAAAAGCTTATATTTTCCCCCCAGTGGTCTAAAATAATTTAATTACCTGCCTCTAGTTATAGCTGTAATTTCCACAAAAATTTCTTTGGACTAGGAATAGAATAAACCTAAGTGTACTAAAATACAAAAAAAATTTTTTTAAATCTACTTTGTCTTAAAATCTGAACAATAACTTTCATTTAAAATCTCTTTTGTAACTCAACTGAGATGAATTTTGGATTAATCCTTGATTTTTCTTTATTTCCACAGGACATCCATTACCTTGCACTAGACAAGGGTGAGTTGGCACTAGCTGAAGTGGCAAGGAGAAGAGCTCGTGACGTTGATGCAGAATCAATCACCTCTGGAGTTGGTAAGAATTAATGCTGGGGTTTCAAGTATTTTTCGTTCTAATCAATAATTTTTCAGTACTATTTCTATTTTTAAAGCATGGTTGGTTAATTTGAATTACCTTCTTTTGTATAGACTAAGTATCTTTAAAATATAAGAACGAAGCCTGCACAAATAGTACAATCTGGATATATAACTTGAAAGCCTGTTGATTTGAAAATTAATAATCATTAGTTATGTCAGTACTACTTTGAAAAGTTACTTCAGTCACCATTTAGTAAAATACACAGGATACTGTTCATCAGATTTGGGGCGGGGGGCGAGAGTTTATTATCATTAGTGCTGTTATTGAAATTAACCAGCACAGGAACTTACAAAGTCTTTATGCATGCGCAAACACGTCAGGCTTAGAATGACATCTCTCACATCAGACACAGGCCTTCCCAGGGATGGGGGCGCTGCCTCGCTTAGACGGCACAGACCCTCCAGGGCGGGGCCTCTGGAGCAGGTCTTCTCTTCCCACGTGCTGTTGCCACGAGCCAGGAGTAGCAACCGTCCTTCTAGTGCGGTCATCCAAGAGGACGACGCAGAAGCCCAGACCAAATCTAAAAGAAGGTTCATTTACAGCTTTAAGATGCAGAACAAGTAAGAATTGTTTTTCTTAAAACGATCCTATCAGCATAAGCTTCCTTTTTCTAAAGTCATTTTCCCCAATGTCACCTGACCTGTGGTACTGACACGGCCATCTTGATAGTTCCTCTTCTGAGACCAAGCAAAACGACCCTCAGAACTGGAACTGACTCACTTCTCTGTGGAACTCCAATGAACAAAAAATGTTTTGATAGTATTTCCACAATTTGCACAAACATATTATAGTGAACCTCTTTGTTGTGCCTTACAGAAAAAAAAATGCTAGTTGTAGCCAAAGGGACCAATTGTAGACCTTGTTCCAGCCTTTACCACTAGAGAGCCTAATCTGAAAGGACTCAAAGCCACTCTGCCGGGCTGCTCTAAACCCAACGCCAGGGTTGACCGTTCCCAGTAAACTGTGTCCATCTCCTGCCCCACCCTGAGAGAGTTCCACATCGATAGAACCCAAGCGGTGCATAGCTCGTTTTCAAATGGATACCTAATGGATAGCAGATATTCATGGTCTTAGTTACCTAGTGCTGCTATAGCAGGAACACCAGAGCTATGTGGCTTTAACAAACAGACATTCATTATCTCACAGTTTCAGAGGCTAGAGGAAGGATTCTCGATGTCATTTCTGAAAGTCTTTATCTCTAGTGAACTTCTGCTCCTGAGAAATCTTCGTGTGACTTGTCATCTCTCACTGCCCAACTCGGTTTGCCTGCTAGCTAGTTTCACCTCTTTCAGATCTCAAAGTTACTGCTCACTCAACAATAGGGACTTAACAGCTCGGGAGCAGAGGGCTTGTAAGGTGCAACCTTTGGTCTCTAGTGATGCAACTAGAAAGACACCTGGAAACCAGGAGCCAGGTGCTCATGGGCCTCGCAAACCTCAGCCTCCACAAGCCCAAGAACAGACCAGCCAGTTGGTGCCCTGCGCCTACTCCCAATTGCTCTGACAGGGAACACACGAGAAGATCCTGGAAGGAGCCCTGGTGGTGTATGTAGTAGTTCTGTGTTGGGCTGCGAGTCGTATGGTCAGCAGTTCAAAACCGCCAGCAGCTCCTTCAGAGAGACTGGGCTTTCTACTCCAGAAAACAGTCACAGGGGTTGCTATGAGTCCGTGTTGACTCAATGGCAGTGAGAGGATGGAGGTAGGAGAAAGACGTGGAACAACACTGAATCATAAAGTCCACGCTTACTGGTCAAATGGAAACTAATAGATCCCTCAAGACAATGGCCCTTAGTCACCTTTCAGGGCTGGAACTAAACTCCCCCCGATGGTTCAACCAAACAATAGATTTAGAAGGGGAACAAAGGCACTAATGAAGTCTGCAAACCTTAGAATAATCGACCACTTGAGATCAAAAGGGGCAGTCTTTCCCGAGGGTGAGGGAAGGAGTGAGGGTTAGTGAGATCATGATGGGATCTTGTGAGGACTTCATGGGTGAGATGGTTGAAACATGTACGAATTGCTGAACGTAAACCTGGTGCTCCGCTCTCGTCACAATAAGGTTTAAAAGAGAGTGACCTAAGACATGTTACATTAATCCTATCCCATTTAACATAACCCCAAATTCCCAAATGGGATTCTAACCACAGGGATACCGTATGCACTCTTGTATAAACCAAGTATTTCAGTATGTTTTTAATGCAGTTTTTGTGGTAAAATTAGGTGCCTTGGCTGCTATTCAGGTCGGCTTATACTCAAGTATATATGGTAGGTTTTTGTTGTTTGTTTTTTTTAGAATGCTTGTTTTTTGTGGAGAGGGAGATATGATATGAAATTACTTGGTGTGTTTCTTCTATCCATGTCTTTGTAATTCTTACCAAATGATTGAGTGAGATAATGCAATTAAGGTTTGTGAAACACTAATAGAGGGATTGGTTAGTTTTGTCATTCCACTGGATATATAAGTGAGCCATCTCAGAAGCTCACACACAGGAGGAGAGAGACTCTCACGGCTGTTTGAGAGGGTGTGTGTGTGTATGTGTGTGTGTGTGGTGTGTGTGTGTGTGTGTGTGTGTGTGTGTGTGTCCGTCCCTGGGGCCAAGCAGCACACTTCTCAACCATGGAACAAGGCAGAAACTGAGACTGCACGGCTGACAGGCTGATGGCCAAAGAGACACTTCTGCCAGTATGGCTGAGAGAGGCATTGTAAACAAAAGAACTGATTCCTTAACATTTTGTAAGCTGGTAGCTTCTCTAATATGAGGAGCCCTGGTGGCCTAGTGCTTATGCATTGGGCTGCAATCTACAAGGTCAGCAGTTTGAAACCCACAGCTGCTCCTGGGGAGAGAGACGGGGCTTTCTATTCCCACAAACAATTACAGTCTCAGAAGCCACAGGGGCAGTTCTACCCTGTCCGTTAGGGCCACTGTGAGACAGCATCGACTCAGTGGCAGTGAGGCGTTTTTGTTTTACTTTCCCGAATGGGCCCAATAATTGTATTTCCTGTGAGTCCTGTAAGGCAAGGAATTATTGAATCCAGTAGAGTACCATGAGAGATGGCTGGTTGGTATCAGAATAGGGTGCAGATGTATGGAAAGTGGAGGCATGCCTGACCTCTGGCTTGTAGCAGTTGACCTTGACCTGGTACGGAGTTGGGCTTTTCTCCTTTGTGTGACTCAAGGAAGATAAGCAGGCCCCTATGCTGCTTCCTCAGGGGGACACAATTCAGTACACAGCAGTCAGTATTAGTACAGCATTAAATAAGAATCGCCTTGACCTAGCACCATAACTTGTGACTTGCTAAGTATTTGATATACTTCCTAATAATAATAGGTAATGTTTATTATGGGCCAAACACTATTTTAAAGTACATGATTAATTTTCACCATGACTGTATTAGTTTCCTGGGGTTGCTATAATAAACGATTACAAACTACATGACTTAAAAATGAGTTCTGGTAGCAACATGTGTGATGGTTTGGTTGCTAACTATGAGGCTGACAGTTCAAACCCATCAGCCGCTCCACCAGAGAAAGCTGAGGCTGTCTGCTCCAGTAAGGATTTACAGTCACAGTCAAACCAAAGCAAACTCCCTGCCGTACAGTCAATTCTGACTTACAAAAACCATCCCCAACAGAGAGAACATACTCCTTTGGGTTTCCAAGACTGTAAATTGTCTGCCTTTGTAATGATTTACAATCTCTGGACCTCACCTTAACTTAATTACAACCGTAAAGATGCTATTTCCAAATAAGGTCACATTTATACCCTGCAGGTATAACTGAACTAATCGCCATAGCTCAGTTTCAGTCAAACAATAGACAGGTTCAGGGTTATGATTTGAATGTAATTTTTTGAATCACAATTCAGCCCACAGTAACAACTCTGTGAAGTAGATACTATTTTGCATTTATTATGAGACATGACTTTGAGGAAATGATGAAATCATATCATGTTCGTAGGAATGTTGATATTATGTAACTTGGATATAAGCATTCTCCATTCATATCCCTCTAGCCATTTTGGAAAACAATATAAAAAAATTCAGTCTCTTTTCTGAGAATTTTCTTCAGTCATCCCATATTCTGCCTTTTCCAGTAGACTCTAGAGTAGCAAATACAGTAAAGGCAGTCTTTGAAGCTCTTTAAATTATGACAGGTGAAAAAAATTAACAAAAACAAAAGTAAAGAAATTCTACTAGTCACTAAAATCTAGTAGACTTTCTTATCGATTTGGAGTAGTTCCATATAGCTAACGGATATAAATACTGACATAAGAATCACAAATACCTTCTCCCACTGATTTAATTTTTACCTTAATAGTGGTTTTTGATGAAAAGCATTCTTTATGATAATATGATTGTGTTAGTCTGGGTACTTTAAAGAAACAAATCCACAGAAACTCATATGTTTAAGAGAGAGTTTTATATAAAGGGTAAGTGCACATCAAGAAAACATCCCAACCCAGTGCT